CTTGTACCCATTCCCCTTTGTCCTGTCACTGGCCACCACTGAGAAGAGTTTGACCCTATCCTCCCTGCAGTCACTCCTCAGGTACTTGTACATGTTGATCAGATCCTCTCTCAGTCTTCTCTTCTCCAGACTAAATAGGCCCAGCTCACTTAGTCTTTCCTCATAAGACAGATGCTCCAGTCCCTTAATCATCTTCGTGGCCCTATGCTGGACCCTCTCAAATAATATCTGTGACTGTGAGGACTTTGGGAGTCCTTTGCACAGAGCTGCCTCAGTTGCACTTCCTCAGCTCCCACCCAGCACTATTCACATGCCCAAGGTAAACAGACTGACCCTACTATGGCATCTATGGGAGCACCCATGCTTTGCATTGCTGCCCCAAGGACAGCTCTTCCCCCGTGTCCCTCCCCCAGCTGCTGCCTCTGGCCTGGCCACCTCTGCACCAACTTCCAGCCTGGCATGAGGAGTCATGCAGGAAGGGTCTAATACCAGTTGGGCCATAGCAACACCTTCAAGACGAGTGTTGCAAGAATATGGGTATTTGCAGGGCTGCAGATGTCTGACTGAGGTTGGTCCCTTTGCTCGCTGACACCCAAGTGTTTGGCTGCAATGCGGGTGGCTTCGTGTCTCCATCCCAGGGCCATCAGGGCTGTGTCGAAGCTCGAAGCCCTTGCAGAGGGCAGAGGATGCTCTTTGTGGCCGACTCTCTTCATGCCCACAGACCCTTTTCCAGAATGGCTTTGACAGCTTGGATGCAGTCAGCTCCTCCTGTGCCACACTGACAGGCCCATGTTCCCCTCAAGAGCAACAGCAAAACCCGACAAAAATAAGTCTCAGCCCCCAAATGCCTCCTGATCTAAATATATGTTTTAATATAGTCAAATAGAGTGTTTTTTAACCAGCTAAGGATGAACTTGAACTGAGGGCATTTGTAACATGGGTATTGAAACCAGCCCATGCCACCGAAACACTGACTGCTTTCAGACTAAAAAAGTATCGGGTAATGCAAGCCAGAATTGGGAGCATTTTTGTAAACCTGTTTTGATATTCATTAATTTCCTCCAGAAGGAAATAGAAAAGCGAATTATGGAAATTCTTGATTTTGGCGGGGGTGACAATCAAATAACAGGTAATCATGTGAAATTGTCATGTAACATTTTTAGATGAGGATCCTTTGCAGTGCGATCATCCTTTGATCCGGGAGGGAAGCCCACACGTAGCCATGGGAGATCTACTCGGAGGGCCGAGGTGCAGCGAGGAGAGCTCTCCCTCCGGCCAGGAGCTTGGTGCTACGCGCAGGATCAGCCCGTTGACAGCCTGCCCTGCTGCTCTGTGTGCAGCTCTGGAGCCCCCTCTTCTCCCTTGGACCCATTCACTTGCTTGCTGAAACCGTCTGCCCGCAGGGCGTGTGTTTGAATACGCGCAGCCTAGGAGCCAGCAGTCTGGAGAGCGAACAGAAGCTGCCTGGGAGGCACGTGCTGCTGCAGGAAGAGGGAGGGAAGGCAGCCCTGGGGCACGCTCTGCTCCTGGGGACTCCCCGTCCCCTCTCCTGCTCTCCTGGTCTGCACCCTTGAATGTTGCAGGCTCCTCTCTTGCTATCACCCTCCTGCCTGTGATTTGCCAGCAGCTCAGAGGGGAAGGTGGTTTCTGAGGACTAGTATTACTCAACTTTTGTGATGTATATAAAAACACTTTTGTACCATTACATACACTTGACTCAGCTGAGCCAGAGAGGGACTTGGGGAAAGAGCCTCAACCAGACTAACTGCAGTCCCCAGGTGGCTTCGCCTCTCAGCAATGGGGAAGGAGGCAGGGGGAAAGCATCTTCTCTCAGAGTCATGCCTGGGCTTTCGCCTGAAACTCTCCTGTCTTTTTTTCCCAAGAGGGATCCCAAGTAACGAGCCACTAGTCTCAGGGGTGCCAAGGAGCTTCCTCTGGGGACACCAGCCACAGGAATGACACAGCCTTACAAAGGGGCTGGAAAAGGCCATTTTTCCACAACACTCAATGCTGCAGAGATCATTTCTATCAAGAAATGAGCCCAAGGACACAGTCTGTTCCAGCCTCAACTTTCTTACTTGCTGAAGTATGCGCAGAAGACGCAGCCCATCTTAATTTCTCTGTCATAGAGCTCATCCCATATCAGACAAGCTTGCTCCAGAGAGGAATAATTAAGATTTTTCAGTTAGAACACCTGAATTTGATCAATAAACGTGGCAAAAGAGAGTGAAGACTTTGATAGCCCAACCTCTGTGAGAAAGAAAGGGATACAAAAACAAACTGGGTTTGGTGAGCAGTTTGGTGCTTGCTTTATTGCATCTCTGCTGGGCTACACAGTGATCGAGCTCACACTAGTAAGCTAAGGAGCCGCCCCAAGTCAGGCCAGGCTTTACTGTGTGACCCATTCTTGCACTTGGAGTATTTTAACCTCAGTAAAAAGTATAAAAATGCATATACGTTATAATCAAACACCCTAAAGCCCAGAACATCTGCTCACCATTATTCAAAGTTCAAAGGAGAAAGTTAGAGCATGCTTGAAAACTGCATTATTGCAAGGACTTACTACAAGTAGCAGCCAGTCAGCTCTCTCCCACAACAGTAGCAACCAACTACCTAGCTCAAGACTGTGAAAGTGAAAAATTACTTTTTGTATGTTAACTGTTCTTTTAAAGCAGTAGGATTTTCCTAATTTAGTGAGGGTTTACAGAGCACCAAGCTGAGACTATGACACAGAAGACAAAAGTTAGGAAAGAATGGTGGGCAGATAATTATGTTCCCTGGAATAGAGGGAAGTTAATCAAAATGACTTTGCAAGTAGCCACTGCTCCAGCCTGCCGCTGAGACAAATCAATGTATTTGTCTCAGATAAAACATTCAAATACCTAAAATGAACTGAGATAACTATAAATCAAGAAGCCAAACTGGCTGCCTGCCAAGTTCCTCTCAAGCAGCTTCCAAATCAGTCTCTACAGGGGATCCTGTTCAGGCTGCCCACTGGACACCCTCCCCACTGCTGCGGGTCAAGGGAGGCTGATAGGGCCAGGGCCAGGTATGTGTCAGGCTCCCTTCCCTTCTGCCTCAGCCCTCCCTGGCCTCACACCAACACTGCAAGAACAACCTGGCTCTTGCACTTTCCAGGACTTTTTCCTATAAAGCTGTTGAATTTTCCTCTGTAGTTACTTGTCATGTGTAAGCAACCCTATGAACTTGGAGAGGAAAAAAAAAAAAAAAAAACACACACACACACACCCCCTCCTTTATTTGGAGGGAATTTCCTTGAAATGAGACACAGGCTCCAAGCCCATGATGTTCATGGCCTGAAGTTTGCTCCAGTGTAACTGAAGTGCCAAACACCTGGCAAGCTATAGGCTTGTCTGGGTGAGAACAAAGGCACATGCTACTTCAATCACAACCTTCAAAGTAGTAGTGCAGCAACATCAAAACATGTAAAAAAGTGATCAACGCAGCTGCTTCAAGAAGTAGGAATGACATCACAGCTGCTTGTTTCCTCTCAGTTTCCTGAGAAAGTAGTACTGCAAACACTACTACTTCCATAAGCAATATTACTTTTGGATGGCCTTTTAGGTATATGATAATTTACAATAGAAAAGGGCTTTACATACTTACTGGATAAGTCAATGCTTTCCTCTCATCCCTTACCTACATTTTACAGGTCAGGTATTTGTTAAGAATCACCAGGCAAAGGCACTTGATCTGGAGCAAGGATCTGTACATTTTGTTCATCCAAAACATTTTACAATTTCAGTACAAATATTGGCAGCAAATTAGCATTAAGAATTAGCATTAGATTTACTAATTTCATCATCAAGAGATCCTGTGCTAATATTCAGCTCACACTGCTTAGTGCCAGTTAAGATCACATTTAATCCAGAGAGTGGAGTTCAACTGGCTATTTTCTAAAAATCTAATAAAAAGCTTTTAATTGTAATACATGCAAAGGATGCTGTTTCCTTTTTACCCTTTCAAGTGTCATTTAATCCTACTCTCCCCAGGCAGCAATCAAATACTAGTATAGTATAGGCAGCCACAATGCTTCAGTCTTTCCCATTATATATTTTTTATCTTGCAGAGTTTAAGTTATGTTTGGGTAGTAGCCAAGAGGCCACCTGTGTTGCTTTCTTATGTTAAAGACTAGTTGTTTTCAAACAGCCCATGGTTTATAAGCAGTTCATTACACACTATACTGAGTTGTTTACAGAATGCAACTGCATTACTCTCTTGTTTAATAGTCAGATTAATGTGATCCTGCAAAGATTTGTACAAACTTAGATTTGCTCTTAGTCAAGTTTTTCCAGTAACACACAGTTAAAGACAAGTTATTCCCCCTTCCCTTCAAGATCCCTCACTAGAAAATACTTAAGGGAAGTTGTGTTATTCCATTAAAAGGCTCTCACCACCCCAGCATTAACAGGTCACTCAGAGCAGCTTCCAGCACATGACAGCAGGAGTCACAATGACTAAATCATGTTCTACACATGAACAGAACCCAGGACCAGTTATTTCAATATACTTTATTTTAAAACAGGTAGGTCACAAACACTAAGCTTAGCCCATTCTGCCATACACAAGCTACAAATACTTGTTTGACAGTTGAGGGTCAGTCTTTAGTAGCATATGTGAAAAGTGAATAAAAATCCATATAAAACAATATTCAAATAGTTTCCATAGGAACACAGATCAATGTGACCCCCATCTCCTAGTCTTTTTTGTTCCATTTATGCCAAGCCTAAACTTTAAAAAAAAGTAAAAATTCTAGCAAAAATTAAGTTAATGGTCCCCCAAATGTCCTAAATTCAATGACTAAACTTGCAGTTAGCTACTAAACATTATCTATACATTAATACTAGCCGAAGCACAAGTTGCTGGATATTCAATTCCGCTTTCCCAGGCACAAGACAGTGGCAAAGTAGCAACATCCTGCTCTTCCACTCCAGCTAGGAACCCTTGCTCCTTAATCTGTTGCATTAATTGCCTAGAAAAAGGAAAAAAATAGAAGTCAAAATTTTTTCACTACAACAGGCTATCAAGAAATCAGGCCAACTGCTTTAGTCAATGTCAGTGAGTTGGAGGGGAAAGAGGAAAAAAAGGACAATCATTTACTCAAGCACCTACATGTATTTGAAATGCTGTTGCATACTATGTACTATGTATGCATTAAATGCTCAAAAGTCCAGATCACATCACTGACTGCCCCTTACTCTATCTCTCCACATTCATATCTGACTTGAATAAAGCAAAAACATAAGGGACTAGCAGTATAAGGGAGATGACCAGGGAGAACCATGCAACTTCCTTCACACAGTCAGGTATGAGTTGTACCAAAGAAACAAGCTCAAAGCAAAGAATTTGATCAGATCCAGCCAGTTTATGCTGCAGGCAACACAAGAAGTTGTGGTGCCATATTGCCCATGAGCCCTTTAAGTTACCTTTCCTGAGAAGCAATACAACATGAACCAATTAGTAATGTCATAATTGTTTAGTGCTACTTTACAGAGGCATTGCCTTTCTTCACGCCACAGGAAAAAGCTGCCTGCAGGTTCTTTGGGAACGGACATCCAATTGATATGAGCTACTCATACAGATAGCTGAAGTCAAAAGGTCTCAGCAGATGAAAATATTGCCAAATTAAAAGCTCAAGTTACTAACCATGCTGGTCTCGACATCACATAGTATATTGCTGGCCTCTGAAATCCATTGAAAGTAGAAGCTGCTGCAACAGTATAGGCACCCATGTTTTCAAACAGAATCCAGTCGCCAACTTGCAGTTCTGGCAAATGGAAACGCTCCACAATACGATCCAGGCCATCACACGTCGGTCCCCATATGCTGCAGAAATAGCAACTGTCATCTGGCTTGGGTCTCTAAAGAAAAGTAGGTCGAGTATGGTTAGGATGACAACCAAAACAGAGCTTCAGAAAGTAATATCCTGATTAGTCTGAGAAGCACAGCACTCCCTCTTCCCACCAGGGAAAAGCTGCTTGAAAACCAAGAAAAACCTTCAACTAGCTTTAATGTATGTTTTAATCAGCCAAATGCCAAATCTTGGCTATTTAGAGGAAGCAGTGAACAGAGAAAGCAGCAGCTGGCATAAAGATTACTGTATCCATGTTTAGTTTGCAACACTTCTGAAATCTGAATCCACATACCTTTTGCAGGACTGGTTTAACATGTGCATGATCATACAAAATGCAGTTGAATGATCCGTACACTCCATCATTCACATAGTACATGAGAGTTTTGTCATTTGCATCCTCTTCATCTGGAAGAGTTAGGACATCAGTAAGAATACTTGGAAAGTGTATACTGCAGCCAAGCAAGATTAGCTCTGGATTTACATACCATCAGAAGCTGTTTGCTCCTTTAATACAACTTTTTTTGCAATGATGTTGACTGCCAACGTGAAAGCTGATGCAACATAGTATCTTCCTGGCTCTGCAATAATATTTATTCCAGAATCCAAAGGAAAATATTTATCCAGTGCTGGATTGATTACACTTGTGATCTAGGAAGAAACAAGTTACATTTATTAGTAAATTACTAACTAATCATATAGTATTTTAAAAGTCTAGAAAGTGAGACTTACAAGCTCATAACAATATGCAGGGTCACTTATCTCTGTTGATTGTTTTATTTCAATATTCAGTTTTGTTGGTATGGGATCAAGTTTATACAAGACACTGACAGCAGACAAGGCTTAGAGATTACATTAAGTGACCAAACAGCTCACATTCCCAGTCTAAAGTCACCCCTCCAGCATCATCAGACAAGCATTAGCCTCCTGCAAGTCCTCACACTTCAACAGCTGCCTCCTGGTTCATCTGAACTTTTGCTTATCACATAATATTCCCCTGTTCACGCTATCCTCACAGTATCTAAGCACCCGAAAAGTTTTGTCATTCCCTTTCAAATTCTCCATTTGAATTTCTTTGAAATTATGACTTTATGAAGATGTAATTATTTTCAAGTTCTGAAGTTATCAGGAACTATTAAGCTGGCTCCAACAGAAGCATTATTGCATTTGGCTCCATTTGTTCTTGATTTGGTGTTAGCTAACACAACACTAGAAACCAGTCTTTACTAAGAGGTATTACCAGGGCAGGCAACAATAGCCCACACATTAATAAAAGCCTCACTTCGTAGAACTCTACTTGCTGCCTCCTTGCAGATATATTTTGTCATTTAGCATTACTTTATATTTGCAGGTGTTCCAGCAGTGCTGTAAGCAGAAGTCCTATAAAACCTCAGTAGCCTCTCCTCTTCCAAAAGAGGAAGCATTTGTGAGACAGGCTGGAGAAGTCATCAGTTAAAAATCCAAGAACTAATTTAAAACAGATCAGAACCTATCTAATCATTTAGTTCAGCACCTATTGGGCTCATCTTTCAGTTTTATGATACTTTCTCCTGCTCTAAGTTTGGCCAGACAGATTCTCTCCAGCATGTGCCTGTATGCCAATATGCAAAAAAAAGATTTTATATTTAATCCATACAAAAATTCAAAAATATTCCAGAACACGACAAGTTAACAAAGCTGCACCTCTTCAAATTTAAGCTTGACATCTTCAGAACCAGGGAAGCCACCACCAATATCAAGCAGATACATATTGAAGCCAAGTTCAGCCTGGAAGAGATTAAATGGAATAGTATATATTATAGAATGAGATTAAATGAATGAGTGTTAAATGGAAATCTTTATCTATGATTTTAGCTTAAAAAAGTCAAGTCACTTCATCAACACTTTGGGAACAAAAGCTAACTGTTAAGGTTCAAGTTAACAGTTAAGTGGATTTCAGATGCTGGTTTTAATGCACCTAGAGGCGAGTTCTGCAGAACTGCTACTGAAAGAAAAGCCACTTAGATTTCTAAACAATTTCAACATGAAGCTGGTGACTTAGCTATTCTATTTTTGCTTCAGTCCTGTCACAACAGTTTGGTAGCAGTGCAGAATAATAAGACTGTACTTACCCCCATATCAAACACACAGCGAGCATCAGAAATGGCCTGAACAAAGGTCTCTGGGTCTGTACATCCACTCCCAACATGAAAGCTGAGATAAAGAAACACCACATCAGTTGCAATTCAGGACCCCTGAGCAAAGCTTATACACCACTCAAGTCTCAAAATGCATCTCTACCACCAGGTAGCCCATCTAAAGAAAGCTCATTTAATGTGATTGTGTGCTTTCATACAGTTGACTCACCTAACTCCAACAATGGCAAGGTCAAGTTCTTTTGCACGCTCCAAAAGCAGCCTGCTGGTCTTAAGGGTAGCTCCAAATTTAACGCTCAGGCGACAAACTGCTTTTGAATCATCAGTTGTGATGCGCAGGACTAACCTATAAATAGAAAAAAAGGCAATTCGTAAGCTCTAGTATATAAAGCATCGTTTAAGAGCCAGGCAGGACCTTATTCTAAGTTAGATCTTAATTCAGAAGCAAACTTTCTTGCCTGTTCCTTCCTAATGTGCCAGTAAGCTATATAGGATTAGACTTCAAAGACTAAAAGCAGGTTTGTTTTCTCTTAAGTTTTTCATCATGTCCTGACTAATAAGCGACAAGTTTCAAGTAACAGAACAGCAGACATTTTAGCAGCTTGGGAACTCAAATAATAAAGTACAGAGCAATTAACATAACTTACTTGGCTTTTGGATGGGCCCTTGCAACTTTCATTAGTTCTACTTCACTATCAAAAGTCATCATCTGAACACCACTGCTGGCAGCATGCTTGATCTGAGAGACTTGTTTGCAGGGATTTGCATAAATAATCCGCTCAGGAGGAACACCAATGCTCTGCACCAGCTGTATTTCTGTCTGAAGAGAAAACAGGCTACACTCGTAACAGATTCCTTATTTTGGGACAGTTGATTAAATTCATCAGTAGAACAAAGTTGACAGGGCTTGGTTATGCAAAAGTGTTCAGCTTTACAAGATGCCTTCATATGTGTATGCACTACAATGCATAAGGCCTCACCTTACTGGCACAATCGAATCCTGCGCCAAGAGCAGCAAGTGTCTTCACTACAGCTTTGCTATCATTGCATTTTACAGCATAGAAAGGGGTTACCCGAGGAAGAGCTTTATGCCACCGCATGTGCTTCTTTACTATATCCCCAAGATCAGCAACATAGAAGGCATCTTTATCATCCTAGAGCAAACGGATACACAAACAGTGAATAATAGAGCAATAGAGTCTTGCAGAAAATCTATAAAGGCAACTGTTTCATTTAACATAACTTGTAGCATCATTTCGTACTTACAGAAGATGACACTTCATTTATTTTCTGGTCGAGGATATCCTTGGCTGTAAAACCTTCATCAAGGAAGGTGAATTCAAACTCTTCATTGCTGAAGCTGCTCATGATTTCTGATTATTTCAGGTTTACGTCAAAGAATATAAGTAAAAACTGTTGATTCAAAAAGTATTCATTAGTGCATTCTAATTCATGTAGTAATTATATAGTCATAAACTGTGACCATTACAATAATCATTCTGACAGCAGCAAAGAGTGGAAACTCTTATGGATGACAGATCAGACTTATTTATAACCAAGGAAGCACACCAGAGAATAAAAAAATCAAGGCAGGTTGTGCTCTGTTCAGCAACCATATGATATTGCACTGAACCCACTCAAAGAAAAAAGTCAAATATTTTCAGATATTTACATAAGCCCCTGGAAGTTCTCCATCTTTTCACACCTATATTAGTGTTGCCTCCAATGCTACAACTGGTGCTGGTGTCAAAATGCTTTACCACTTCTCTGATATCTCAATCTAACACAGCAGAGCCCCAGCCCCTGGAAAAGATGTTTACACCCTGTCACAAACAACATTTAGATATGTTATAGACTTCTAACAGCCACTAGGCCAGATGTTAGGACCTGGATCACTACAGTAAGATTAAGCATAAATGTGCCAAGAGATCAGTTCCTTTGTGAGCTCTCTGCTCTTACCAATCCCCTGGCTACACAAAGGGAAAACCTTGGCTACAGGCTGGGACAAGGGGTCTTTCTCAGTTGTGGTCTGCAGACAGTGTCTTCTCCATGACTGCAACTAACAGCTGATAACAGCACCTTACAGTAGTTCCTAGATTTTCCACATTTAACAAGTCTGCTGGCCAATAAAAGAGTCCAAGAACCTGAACTAAAACTCCTCTGTCACCCCAAACCCACAAAGTCCATGTCAGTGTGGATGGGTCATTCATTTAATAGGCAAGTCCAAATACAGAATGCTTATTTAGGCAGCTCAGTGTGTGCTACAGCTTCAAGATATCAGCACTGTAAGTGACTCACAGTGAAGATAGGGTTTCATGTAACTCCGTCCAGCAGCCCTCTGCCTTCCCTAGCTTTTTTAAACACGAATTGAGTCATATAGATTAGGACTGAAGAATTATGCCACGCATAAGCTATTCACTAACATTTTTAGCTACGTCACTGTTTTGAAAAAGGCTGTTTATGTAAGAAAACATTGATTAACTTTCATAATTTTTATACCTTTTACAGGTTAAAAAGGTTAAGATCAAAAGCATCATGCAGTTCACATACCATGTATAAAACAGGCACTCATTTGAAGGATTAAAAATAAATAAAACAAACAATAAAAACAGTAACTACATCATCTCAGCCTTCAGAAACATATGGCACCGAGGACAGAAAACACGGCACATGAGCAGGAACAAATAACAAGAACTAATGAGAACAAGATCATTTCTCCCTTATCAGGCAAACCAGATTTAAGATTCAAGGAAGATTAAGCTTTGCCCCAATGAAATAAAGCCCAACAACCCATCAAGACTTGTTCTCCCCCTGCTCTCATTCACATGCAGTATTAATTCTCCCAGAAGCTGGATTAAAGACTTCTCTTGAAAGCCTCTTTCAAAGAGCCCTGAGAGGCAACAAATCTTAACATCCCTCAGCAGGCTGCTCCCACGAGGAGCCTACATTTTGCTCCAGAATGATTTCACCAAGATGCAGTTATGCAGGAGGCAGACCAGGCACTTCTGCCTCTGGTTAAAGAAACTGAACACCACCAAGAAGGCTTCAGTTCACCCTCATTTGCTTCCCCACTGCACAGGACTGCAGGAAACGCTCTTTTCCTCTGAAAGGGGAGGTGCTTTTACTGGTTACAGCAGATCTGCTCTAGCTGTAACTGCTAAGAAGCTCTTACAGGGCTTCCTTTCCCAGCTGACCATCTCCATCTTACTGCATGACTTCAGCTACCCGTGTACAGACAACGGGCAGATCGCCAGCAGGTACAGGCAAACTACAGCCTTTCAGCTTATATTCCCATCTGGATCGTGTGCCAAGTGTCTCCAGCCTCCCAGAAAGCGGCACTTGGTGCTCACTTAGCGGCTGTTCTCCAGAACATTCCCGTATTGAGGAGCCCTATTTAGCCACAGCTGAGTCACGCCCGCGGCTCTGTAACTAAATTCCACAGCGGGTGCCTAGAAAGGGAGCCCGGGGCTCTCCTGGCCCGGAGCTGGCCGATCCCCGCTCCCAGCGGCGG